CCTCTCTCCTCTCTCTTTTAAAAAAAAAAAAAAGAGGACCTTCCTAGCCTTCAGGATTTTGCAATCTGGAGAGGCTACAGAGTTACCCAGAAAGTTACATAATTTGGGGTGTTTTTGTTGCTTTGGTTTTATATTTTTAGAACTTGCTTAGAAGAGGTAGTAGTTGCACAATGATCTTGAGTCCTTTCCTGTCCTTTCATTGTCTGGAGCTCTCTCTGTTCCTGGCTTGGGTACTTGTAAGTTATTTAATAAAAAGGAAGGTGTTTATTAAAATTTATGAATAATGTTTCTGTTGTCATTTCATCTGTTTCCTTTTATTTATTTGTATAGTAAAAACATTTATTTATTTGTATAGTTGAAATTTTACTTTGTGAATCTATACTTTATAACTTTACATTTGTAAAATTCATTGCTATGAGTTTGTGAAATAAACCTATCATGTACTGATGTTTAATATAATGATCAGCTTTTTATTAGTTTTTCATTATTTGAATGGTTAGACATGAAATTAAAGTGAGGTGCATTTATAAGTGTTTGGGGAAAAGAATCTGTAAAGAGAAAGTTAATATTCCATTAACAAATATGTTGAGATTGTAGGGATATACATATAAATAAAATAAAGGTGTTATGTCCAACATCAGATGCACATATTTTCTAGGATTGTGCTAATATTTTAAAATTTTAGGCCAGACCTGGCTATCAGATTATGGCTTACTATTGGTCAAAAGCATTACAAAGTCTGCTTTTATTTTTTGATAGTTCAGAGTAATATTATTGAGACTCTTAGCAGTTTTGTCACTTTTCTACTTGGCTGCTATGATTATGAGTATTTTCTTTAATTATTAATCTCTTTTGAGTGTCCTCTGGGTTGCCTAACACAATTCTTAAAAATGGAAATATCTGTGTCACACAAATCTACCTATCTTGGTCTGGTCTTCCTAGAGGTAATCACTATTGGGTTTTTTTGTACACTTTAGTAGAAGTGTGTATGTGTGTGTCTATGTGTATCCTTTTCATCTTTTTCAAAAGTAATAGGATTATATTCTGTGTACTTAATTACACTTTTTAAAACCTGTATTTAAGTATATAGTATCTAATTACATTTTGTGTCTGTGGTACTGGGAATAGAACCCAGGGCCTGGCACATGCTAGGCAAATGCTCTACCACTGAGCTGCATCTCCAGCCTTTTTTATTTTATTTGAGGCAGAGTCTCACTTAACTGCCCTGATTGTCCTAGAATTTGCAGTCCTCCTGCTTGAGCCTCCCAGGTCACTGGAATTACAGGCCTGTGTCATCCCTTCTAGCCAAAATAATATATTTTAAAACTAACAAATGAACCAAAATTTACGTATTGCAATTGAATCATGTTGTATTTTAAGTTAGTTTAAGGCTTGCTTCAGTGCACTAGCACAGCTATTGTGGATGCAGCATTTTAAACACTTGCTAGAATCATATTCTGACCTCAATCACATGGCTTTGAGGTCCCAGACTTGGCTTTTCTGACTCTGCAGTTCCACCTAAAAAGTGCACAGTTGCCTATGGGGCTCAGTCACAGCCTCTCTTTGATGATTTTGTTTTTCTGAATCATGTCTTAAGTTTTTGAACTGTTTCACCTAAAGAAGGAAATCTATCATTATATCATGTTTGAAAGAATTAAGTAGCAGGAGCTGAAGATGTAGTTCAGTGTTACAGTGCTGGGTTCAACCCCAGCATGGCAAAAAAAGGAGACAATTAAAAGTGGCACAATATTCATTTAGGTTTTCCATTTGTAAAATTTTTGAATAGCTATAGAATATTCTCTTTGATTTTAATTCTCTAATTGCAAAGTATTTTACCTCTATTTTTGCTTTATTATTAGCTTTGATACAATTGTTGGCTTTACTATCAATACATCATATTGTGTTATATTTATTTATATTTACTGAGCTACATATTAAGTGAAATTTTAATTTGTTACTACACAAACTGAGCAGACACCTGCCTCAAGTCTGTGACTCCCTGTTTCTTCAGCCTGTAAGGTTCTCCACCCGCTTCTCCAGATGTCCCCTTGGGCTTGCTCCCTTGCTTCCTGCAGGTCAAGACCTAGGTGTCAAGTTATCAGAGTGGCCTATTAACCATCTTATATAAACTCATAGTCTTCCTTCCTGGCTGCCACCACCTTATCATTCCCTATTCCTCTTATTCAGTTTAATTTTTCTCCATAGCACTATTACCATATGTTGTATCAGGTTTGAATTTATTGTCTCCTCTGACCAGAGTGTAAGCTCTGTGAGGTCAGGGACTCTGCCTGATTTGTTCCTCCTCCAGTCTCGGTGCCTGAAGAAGAGCCTGGCACTGTAGCAATATCTATGTATTGAATGAATTAATTTTTTACTTGCTTCTGATAAAGGCAAGCAGTGTCATAATCAAATGCATAGGTTGTTTGACTTGCATTTGAATCCCATCTCTGCTGCCACCAGCTCAGGTGACTTGACAACAAGTATGTTTCCTATCTGGGAAATGAAGATTTTCTAATCTGGGAAATAAAGATTAGTTGATCTCCAGTTCTGTTTAGCTTTTGTATTCTATGATTATTTCTTCTCTTTCTCACTTAAATATTTTCCTATTTTAATATTTTCTCCTAATTCTAGCTCCAGTTATATGATAGAACTTGTCAATTATTCTACTGAAAAGTGATTTTGGCTTTTTGATTTTGGGAAAAACTCAGGGATTAGTTTATGTTTTACAGTTCTTCTCAGTTTTTCTCTTTTAAGTTCATATAATTGTAGTATACAAATTTCTCCATCTTACATTCTTGTCGACCAAGGGTGTGACTTGCTTGGAGAGAGAGAGAGGGAACCTGCAAATGCTCTGTTAGCCTAAGGACAGGCATGTCTTGTGTCCCTTTCCCACTCTTACCTGCCTTGCACTTCTAATTTATCAGTTCTGCCACACCACCTGGGGTAAACACTTCTTTTCTCCTCCTTCACTGCCACCAGGACACATACACATGGCATATTTCAGGCTTCTTTTTCTTTATTTTTTTTTTCTCGTGAGAAGAAGAAATAGACTCAAGAATTCAACCCTATCCTCAGGAAATTAAATTAACTGATATGCAATTTCTTGATCCATCTCAAAAGTCCACATCAGAATGGGAAGTAATAAATCAGCTATTTTACTGTCAACGTTTTCTTCCAGCCCATTTGCTTATGTGGACCCTTTGCACTGTAACATGGCCTATTTGTACCTTGAGCTCCTCAAAGACTCACTCAACGAGTATGCATATGCAGCAGAGCTAGCAGGCTTGAGATATGACCTCCAAAATACCATCTATGGGATGTATGTAAGTACCCACGTCTTAGAGCCTTCCACTCATCAACATTTTTTTATATTGATTTGATGGAAGCATTTTTGATTGAGGGTATGAGTTTTATTTCTTTAAAAAAAATCTTTATACCTAATCATATTTTCTCATTTACTTTTTAAGTTAGCTCTTATAAGTATTCAGATATATATATACATTCATATTATACAGATTTTCCTTGGTTTTTTTCCTTTTTCTTTTTTTACATCTTTCATCAGATTGTCATATTTTTTTCCTCAAACAAAATTGGACTCTGGTATAGGTTTAGCCTTACCCATTCTGTATCTGAAGTCTTGATCTTCGGCAAGAGAATGAAGTCTCTTTGTAAAACATAAGGTTGGCCTGTACTATTTCCCTAGAAAACCAGATCATGAGGCTGCATATCCATACTCTTCGGTCATGTTTCTTCATATCATGCCACTGCTTGAGGTATCAAAGCATTTCTTTTGTTTTTCTTTTTGTTAGTCGCTACATTTATGCTGATCCTCTCCATTGCAACATGACATACCTGTTTATCAGGTTATTGAAGGATGATTTAAAAGAGTATACATATGCAGCACGCCTCTCAGGTTTGAGCTATGGCATTGCATCAGGAATGAATGCAATACTTGTAAGTAAAATGAAAACCAAAGAAAGGCACCACACCATTGAAACATTATATTCAGCTTGGAAAAACTATTAACTTCTGCATTTTTAAACAAGAAGATTGATGGTTTTTTTTCCTTGCACCTTTTTAGTGATTGAAGAACTCAAATTAGTATTAGTTCCACTAATACATGATTTAATAATGCTTAGTGCATATTATGAACATATATGTGTGCTACATTTATTTGCATGTTCTTCTGCTTGAGATGTTTAACATACTAATCCTAAAAGCATGTTTTTCTTTCTATATATTTGATTATATTGCCATCTGAAGTAAAAGATATACATAGTTATTGTTGTGGTGCTTGAATTTTACTTCAGCTTTTTTTAGTTTTGTGGACAGTGATAGAAAGTTCCGGTGTTCAAACACACTTGAAATTTTATTTTGTAGCATGCATCATTAACTATTTTACATGTGTTTGTTTTTTGTTTTTAAAGCATTATTAAGTACATCCCAAGAAAAAATTAGATCTTCAATAGTGTTTCTGATTTTTCCAACCTTGATTATATCTCAGTTCAAATTAACACTTTTTATGGCACATATTCATTTTTCATTTTTCTTGAAATTGTTTTCAGAAAACTAAAATTGGAGCATTTCTGAATACTCTTTCTAAAAAAATTCTCACACAAATGGTTTTAGGATTTTTAAAATTTTATTCATTTTTGCAGTGGCTTTTTTCCTTCACATATGTTTTCCAGTAGCTTTTGTTGAGTGTATAAGAATCTATGTGATCTAATTATTCTCAGAATCCACAGAAATTTTTAGATTTAGAGATCAAAATTAACTCCAAGTATAAAATTAATAATCAGTTTTCTAATTGTTGCTGTTAACATTTAGTGGTATATTTACATTAAAACAAATAATTTTTATTTATGATTTTCAATTAGCTTTCTGCTAATTGTTAGTCTGGTTTCTACCAAGTATGATATGTTTTCAGTGGTCAGTGATCTTCACTCATGCTGAGGCTCTTGACTATTATTCTTCTCAGGATAAAACTTTCATAAGTATTCTAGTTGCAGTGTGTCTTAAACTGCTGTGGATACTACTATATGAAAATATGGTAATAGCCATTCCCCATTCACTGCTTTCAAAGTGTTAGACTTTCAGAGATTACTGAAGTAAATTGTCCTAAGGCAAATTCTAACTGTCTCCTTCCTAAACATTTATTTTGACATCAGCTTTTGAGATATCAGCAGAACTTGTGAAGTAAACAAATATTTAGAATTTGGGGTCCTTCTTGGGTAATATTGAGTGTAATACATCATTTGATCTGCCTGATTTCTCCAAAGGTGATTTTTAAAAAAATATACATTTATGTACTGTTTTGGGACTTGCCCAGTAGTTAGCTAGATGATAGTCCCCTATGATTTTTATCTTCTTACTAGCTATAAAAACTTTTAAGCCTACCATTCATTAGAAATTCTTTTTTAAAATAAAACTTAGGGGCTGGGGATAAAACTCAGTGGTAGAGTATGTGCCTAACATACATGAGGCCCTGGGCTCTATCTCCAGCACCAAAAAGAAAAATAAAGGAAAAACACTTTCTGTGATTAAATTTGATATAATGAGAATATGATTTTGATGATTTAATGTGTGTTGCCATAGTTTGGCATCAGGTGAGTTTATCTACGGTGTTTAGGAAATGTGAAATTGTGTTTTTTGGCATTAGTTATTATAAAGATAACTAATGTTATCTTCTCAGTTTTAAATTATGAGAAGTTAAATTCTTTGAATGTCTTGTTTTTATTTCAGTATACCTGGATTTAGGATTTTTTTCTAAATGTGTAAAAATCAAGTTTAAGATGATTATGTCAAAGTTATTGGATAATTTTAGACTTTTAATATGCCAAACTCTTTCTGTAGCTTTCAGTGAAAGGTTATAATGACAAGCAGCCAATTTTGCTAAAGAAGATCACTGAGAAAATGGCTACCTTTGAGATTGATAAAAAAAGATTTGAAATTATCAAAGAGGCGGTAAGTTTTCTGACTCATTTTTGTGCTTTATTTGAATTCTTAAAGCTATTGCTATTTGGCATATTTTGAAAATTTTTGATAAAGGAAGAGAGGAGTAAATGAAGCATTCATAATCCTGTTGCATTCATCTCACCTTATATTTGCTTAATCTATACCAGAAAGAAAGCTGACTCTGGTGGACACCTGGCCCCCTTCTCTGTGGGCTTCAAGAGCTCATGCAGTTGCAGTACTGACTTTCAAAGAGAAGCAGCTAGTGGCATTCAGGGAGTTTCAGATGAACACATTTGAACAGACTGGGTTCTGCCTTACCGAAAGAGCTTTGTCACATTAGGGCAGACATATTTAAGTTTGATATATCTTCCATTCAAATTCACCCCATATTAGACCCAGTAATGAAAGTATGGGATGGATTGTTGCTTTCATAGCTAAACTGTGGTCTTCATTGTACATCATTAAAAATTACTGTCTGTTATCAACTGAAGATCCAGAATATATCTATCCATGTTACTTGCTTACCAAGACTTTTGAAATGGCTGTATATATACTATCTAAGGATGCCAAAAAGACGAAGGCCCTGGAAACCAGAAATAACTTTCTGAGAGGTGAAAGATGTCTCATAATGAAAGCATTTACAGTACAAATCAGTTGCCAAGGGTAAAGGTGCCACCTTGACAATGAAAAAGCATGCTGGAGCCTGGGGCTGGAGCTCAGTAGCAGAGCACTTGCCTAGCATGTGTGAGGCACTGGGTTTGATCCTTAGCACCGCTACAAAAATAAGCAAATAAAGGCATAATGTCCGTCTACAACTATAATTTTTTTTTTAAGCATGTCAATTAGTTTAAGGATTAGAGAGGGTTATGCCCTATTCTTAAATATGTGACTTCAGGAGAAGAAAGAAGTAAATATTCCCACATGCCAGTAACACATAATTCATATAATGAGATTTATAAAATTCATGGATCCATATCTCCCTTCACTAGTATATGCGGTCTCTCAACAATTTCCGAGCTGAACAGCCTCACCAGCATGCCATGTACTACCTCCGCTTGCTGATGACTGAAGTGGCCTGGACTAAAGATGAGTTAAAAGAAGCCCTGGATGGTGAGACCCTTTTTGCTTAAAGCCTAATTAATGCTGTCTCRATTTTTTTTCCTAAGATGTTTGTGGTTTATACTGGTATCAAGTGTTATGTTTTTTAATAATATAGTTCTGTTAACGCCAACTGTGAGCCAGGCATGATGGCGTGTGCCTGTAATCCCAGTGATTTGGGGGACTGAGGCAGAAGGATGGCAGGTTCAAGGCCAGTCTTAGCAATTTAGCGAGACCCTGAGCAATTTAGCAAGACCCTGTTTCAAAAAATAAAAAGGGCTGAGGGTGTAGCTCAATGGTAAAGTGCCCCTGGATTTAATCCCTACTATCAAAAAAAAAAAGAAAAAAGAAAAAAACTTGCCAGTGTTGTATGTTTTTCATAAAAACATTGGTGGTCTTTGAAGTAGTTTTTGCATTTGGCAGGTTAGCCACATTTGCTATTTTCAACCTGAACTTATACGGTTAATTATTACTGTTCTTAGCTTTCTGAACATGACTAAAATGCTCTGACAGCAGTTTACCTTGTTAATATCAAACTTTTCAGAAAAGAGGGAAAAGACTGAGCTTGAAAGTCTTATCACATAGAAAGTATGCTCAGGCATTTTTTCCAAGCCCTGGCATCTTTAGATCTGTTAAGCTCAGTTAAAATTTTGGAAAATATATTAATGCCTAAAGAGTGGTCCTTGTTTTTTCCTAAAGATCTTCAATCTAAATCTCAGGGAGTTTGCTTGAAAGTCCTAAATTGTTTTAGTATTGTGATTATGTCTTCTTTTTATCCTTTTATTTGATGCCTAGTTTAATGTAATGCCTTCAATGTGTCTATTGAATGGAATAAAATACTTTCAAAGTTGCTTTATTGGACAGACTGATATATCATCCATTATTATTTATATTTTTCATTTCCATCATTACTTTACTTAATCTTTTCTGTATGCTCATTAATAAGAATTTTTAAATAATTCTTGGGGATGTGGCTCAYGTGGTAGCGTGCTCACCTAGCATGCGTGAGGCACTGGGTTCGATTCTCAGCACCATGTAAAAATAAAATAAAGATATTGTGTCCACCTAAAACTAAAAAAAAATAAATATTAAAAATAAAAAATAGGGGCTGGGATTGTGGCTCAGCGGTAGAGCGCTCACCTAGCATGAGCGGGGCCCAGGTTCAATCCTCAGCACCACATAAAAAATAAAGGCATTGTGTTGTGTCCATCTACACCTAAAAAAAGTAAATATTTAAAATTAAAAATAATAATTCTTTTGCATTTTCAGCTAATTGTATTGCATCAGTGTTAATTTCTTAAGTTTGATTATGGTGTTTAGGAAATGTGAAATTGTATTTTTTGCTATTAGTTATTATAAAGATATCTCATGTTATCTTCCTCAGTTTTAAATTATTTATGAGAAGTTAAATTCTTTGAATGTCTTGTTTTATTTTTTATTTCAGTATACCTGGATTTGGGATTTTTTTCTAAATGTGTAAAAATCAAGTTTAAGATGATTATGTCAAAGTTATTGGATAATTTTAGACTTTTAATATGCCAAACTCTTTCTGTAGCTTTCATTGAAAAGTTATAATGACAAGCAGCCAATTTTGCTAGAGTGGTCCTGGTTTTTTCCTAAAGATCTTAAATCTAATTCTCAGGGAGTATTATGGTTAGGAAAGATGTTAACTAGTTAGGAGAAATTGGGTGAAGTGTATAATAAAGGAACTGTGTGGTATTTTTGCAAATCTTCTGTAAATCTTAAATTATCTCAAATACAAAGTTTTCTTATCTGCTTGCTTGGTTTTTGTATTTACACTTAAATGTAGATGTCAACATTTTTTATTCCTTTACAGATGTCACTCTTCCTCGCCTTAAGGCCTTCATACCTCAGCTTCTGTCACGGCTGCACATTGAGGCCCTTCTCCATGGAAACATAACAAAACAGGTGAGTGGTTGAGGTTTTAGTGGTCTGATGTAGACCACTGGAAGAAATTTTTTTCCTTTAGTCTATCTTAAGATTATTAACCAGCACAGTGATAAGCTCATTAGAGTTCGCTCAATGAGTAGATGAGTAGAAAGATAATTCTTCTCTACTCTGTGGAGGAAGATGGGAGAAGGCAAGGATGAGGTGGAAGACTATAGTTAACTAAGACCTGCTTTCATTTCGTGCCTTGTGCAATCATAGGAGAAAATGTGAATAATTGCCTCTATTCTGTAGATTCACATAATGTGCATTCAAGTCCTGACCCTGCCAAATAATAAATATGTATGTAATCTTATGAAAATGTCTTAACTCTGCTCCGTTTACCTATCTATAAAAGTAGAGTTAGAGTTGCCAGCTACATTGTGGGTTATAAGAATTAAATAGTACATGCCAAGCGCTAAGCACATGGAAAGCACAACAAAATTTCCATAGCAGTCTGTCTCAAGAGCCTTCACTCTCCACCACTCTGCAATACTGCCTCCAAAATAATATGCCCAAAGTCAGATTCCAGTAAGCGGTAGAGACAGGATTGTTGCCAAGGTTAGTTCCACACACAACAAAACTTTATGCTCACCTTCTTTGCTTGGCTTTGACCCCAGGTGCGGCAGTCAAGGTCATTTATTAAGGACCAGCTCTCCATTACCAATTCCTCTTCAATTTGGGCAGTGTTTTTGTCCCCCAGCGTTGGCATCAGTGTTAATAATTGTGTGGGTCTCTGTTTCTCTTCATTACTACCATACTGACTGATAGATTCAACTTTTATCCATTTTAGTGGAATTCAAACCTATTTTTATGATAAACTAAGCTACTTTATTTTACAAGCATGTTTTCTTTTTTTTTTTTATATTGTAATAGACTGTCCAGTATACTCTTTTTATTTTCACAGACCAGATACTTTTTTTTTTTTTTTTTTTGTAATGTGCTATGGCATCTTTTTCCCAGGCTGCATTAGGAATCATGCAAATGGTCGAAGACACCCTTATTGAATATGCTCACACCAAACCTCTTCTTCCAAGTCAGCTGGTTCGATATAGAGAAGTTCAGCTCCCTGACAGTAAGTGGAAATGTTAAAACTTTAGGTATTTGGGGCTGGGGATGTGGCTCAAGCGGTAGTACACTCGCCTGGCATGTGTGCGGCCCGGGTTCGATCCTTAGCATCACATACAAACAATGACGTTGTGTCCGCCGAAAATTAAAAAATAAATATTAAAAATAAATAAATAAATAAAATAATATGAGTGATGACAGGTAGGTTGAATTCACTTTGATAGAAAGAAAAACTATTTCACTGGAAACCCATAATAATCTTTAGCAGAAAAGGTTTTAGTAAAGTTATAGGTGCAGGTAACATATTTATTATAAGAATATTTTCATAGCTAGGGGCTGGGGTTGTGGTTCAGTGGTAGAGTACTCGCCTAGCATGCATGAGGCACTGGATTCGATCCTCAGTACCACATAAATGTAAAATGAAGATATTGTGTCCACCTAAAACTAAAAAATAAATATTAAAAAAAAAGAATATTTTCATAACTGGGCACAGTAGCACATTCCCATAATCCCAGTGATTCAGGAGTCAGGCAGGAGAATCACAAGTCTGAGGCCAGCCTTAGAAATTTAGTGAGAACCTAGCTCAAAATAAAACTAAAATTGGGCTCGGGGTGTCACTCAGTTGTATGCTCCAGGTTAAATCCTCAATGCCACACATAAAAAAGAATATTTTCTGGGGCTGGAGTTGTGGCTCAGCAGTGGAGCACTCACTTAGCATGTGTGGGGTGCTGGATTCATTCCTCCGTGCCATGTAAAAATTAAAATAAAGGTATTATGTCCAACTATAACTAAAAAACAAAAGCAAAAAAAAAAAAAGAATGTTTTCATAGGGATCAACATCAATAATTGATTTTATTCATGTATTTGGCTTTGCAACATTGGGTAACTTTTACATTAACAATGATTTTGTTTTGTTTTGTTTTTACTACTGAGGATTGAACCCAGGGGAACTTTGCCTCTAAGTTACATCCCCAGTTCTTTTTATATTCAGACAGGGTCTTGCTGAATTGTTGAGACTGACCTCAAATTTGCAATCCTCTTGCCTCAGCCTTCCAAGTTGCTGAAATTATATGTATTGGCCACCACACCTGGCAACAATTGTCTATTTCATGTAAAAATACATTAACATTATTTAATATTGTTCCAGACTGTATCATGAGAGTTATATTAGACCAAGAATGAGAGCATTGATGTTTCTTGGCCGAATTTCGTGGTATTTTCCCATTCATGCAGCATCTGTGCTTTTCTTCTCTCAGCTCTTTTATCCTCCTAAAATAGTGTTCCCCTCAGCCCCTTCTTCCCCATGGACCTTGTCTACACCCTACTCATTCTTCCAAACTTATTATATAAACCACCTACTCCATTGTGTTAGCTTTTTGTCATTGACAAAATACCCAAGATAAACAATTTATAAAAAGGGTGGGTGGCCAGGTGGAGTGGAGCACTCCTGTAATCCCAGTAGCTCAGGAGGTTGAGGCATGAGGATCTTGAGATCAAAGCCAGCCTCATCAAAAGCAAGGTGCTAAGCAACTCAGTGAGACCCTGTCTCTAAATAAAATACAAAATGAGGCTGAGAATGTAGCTCAGTGTTTTGAGTGCCCTTGAGTTCAATCCCTGATCTCCCACCACCACCAAAAAGAAGGAGGATGAGTGTATGTTGGCTCAAGTTTTGGAGGTTTCAGTCATGGCCTTTTACTTTGGGGCCTGTAATTGAGGCAGTACATCAGGAAGCCTTCACCTCATGGCAGCCTGAGGAAGAGGAGAATGGGGTCCCAATATCCTCTTCTATGCTCCCAATAACCTAACTTCTTTCCACTAGACTCTGCCTCCCAAAAGGTTCTACTGCCTTCCAGTAGCAGCACCACAGGCCAGGGCCAAGCCTTCAATACATGAGCTTTTTGCAGCTTTTTTGCTGTTGTGTCTGATGGACCCAACCAGCACAATTGTAGAGGAGAAAAGGGCTCACAGTTTCAGTGGTCTTAGTCTATAGAAGGCTGGCTCCATTCCTCAGGGCTCCAGGTAGAACATCATGGCAGAAGAGTGTGACAGAGGCAAGGAGCTCACATTGTGATCAGAAAGCAGAGAGAGACTCTACTGGCCAGATACAAATATATACCCTATGACCCTGCCCCTAGTGAACCACTTCCTCCAGCCACACCCTACCTGCCTCTAGCTTACCACCCAGTCAATCCTATCATGGATTAATTCACTGATTAGATTAAGACTATAGCCCAATCATTTCTCCTCCAAACCTTGCTTTGTCTCATATGTGAGCTTTTAGGGGCACCACAACTAAACCACAACTGGAGGCATTCAAGATCCAAACTATAACATCCACTAAACTTTTTCTAAGACTCTTATCTACAAGTAGTCACTTCTACTTTTAAACTCCTAACAGTTTTCTGAACCTCTGTTTTAGCTACTCAGCATTTCTACTCTTGCATTTGGATTAAAGTGCACCACCAAGGGGCTGGGGCTGTAGCTCAGTGGTAGAGCACCTGCTTTGCACGTGTGAGGCCCTGGATTTGATCCTCAGCACCACATAAAAATGAATAAATAAAGACATTGTGTCCATCTACAACTAAATAAAAGTGCACCACCATCTTTTTATTAGACTATACAGTCCTTAAAACTGAAGTCTGTCTCTGTCTCTAAATAGCTACACACTACCTCAGAATATCTTTGTTGAATGGGATATCTTGAGCATAGCTCTGCTCTTCTTCACGCCCAGTCATCGTGAAGTTGTCAATCTTCTAGTTTGTTTCTCATTACAAATAGGGCAAAGAGGAAGAATCAAGATCTGCTTTTTAAGAGCCATACCATTGGGGCTGGAATGCTGCTCAGTGGTAGAGTGTTTACTTACCTTGTGCAAGGTCCTAGGTTCATCCCAACACAAAAAAAGAAAGAAAGGTCTATAACATTTATCTTTAGGCAAACTGAGCCCAACTAAAAACAAAATTTCTAAGTGAATCTTTCATAACTCTTTCACTCTACTTTCTTCTTTTCTTAAATTTTTTTTTTTGTAGTTGACAGAATGCCTTTATTTTATTTTTGTTAATTTGTATGTGGTGCTGAGGATTGAACCCAGTGCCTCATGCATACTAGGCAAGTGCTTTGCCACTAAGCTATAGCCCCAGCTCATCTTCTTTCTTTTTCTTCTCCTAGGACCCTGTCTTTTGGGCCCTACATTGCCTCAAGTCCCAAAATAGCCCAGTTTAATCCAGGCTCAGTGGCAGAAGCCTATAATCCCAGGTACTCAGGAGGCTGAGGCAGGAGGATTGCAGGGTGGAGCCCAACAAGGGGTAATTTAGCCCAACCATGTCTCAAAGGGCTGAAAGCATAACTGAGTGGTAGAACACTTGCCTAACATGTAAGAGGCCCTATATTCAATACCCAGTACCCCCCMCACACACACACACAAAAAGACAAAAACAGTTTACATCAATCATATTTCAAAATGCCAGGTGTTAGGAAATTATTTCAATTTAGCCAAGTGATCAGATATGAATGCCTTAAATAATCCCTCATTTAACTCTCCATGGGAAAGCATTTATGGTTTAAAAATTAAAAGTTGCTAGGCACAGTAGAATACATCTGTAATTCCAGCAATTTGGAGGCTGAAGCAGGAGGATTACAAGTTCCAGGCCAGCCTCAGCAACTTAGCAAGTCCCTAAGCAACTTTGTGAGGTCTTGTTTCAAAACAAAAAATAAAAAGGACAGGGGATGTGGTTCAGTGGTAAAAAGAACCTCTGACTTCAATCCCCAGTATCAAAAAATAAAAATTAAAAAAGAAAAATTTTATGCACTGTGAAGGAGACATTTGTTATATAAATGAAAAGTCTGAAAATGGAAAGGGTAGGGTTTTACAGCTCAGATTCTCCTCCCTCTTCTGATAAGAATTTAGTGCTGCCATTTTATGATCAGAAAGTTACATATATTAATGGGTAAACATAGCATTGACTTTATTAAACCCTAAATTAATTTTTTAACCTGTTGCTCTCTTTTTGAAACTTCTAGGAGGATGGTTTGTTTATCAGCAGAGGAATGAAGTTCATAATAACTGTGGCATCGAGATATACTACCAAACAGACATGCAGAGCACCTCGGAGAACATGTTTCTAGAACTTTTCTGTCARATTATCTCTGAGCCTTGCTTCAATACCCTGCGTACAAAGGAGCAGCTGGGTGAGAAGGAAGTGGGGTAATAGCAAGATACTATAGACCTTAACGAAAAACAGTTGTCCTCAGAAAACACTCTCCACATGTAGAAGAGAGACTTGTGAAAACCTTGTTGACAGAGAATTCACTTCTAAAAGATAAGCAAGCTGGGGATGTAGTTCAGTGGTAGAATGCTTGTCTTGTATGCACAGGATCCTGGGTTCTATCCCCAGCCCCTCGGTATAAATAAGATAGATAAGCAGTCAATATCTTGTAGATGTCAAAGCAATTCTTAATGAGATGACCCTGTATTTATATTACATACATGTCAATAAAGAAGACATTTCAGGTAGAGAGGAGAGAATGCTGAGGGCAGACTCGAGTAGCAAAATAGAAAGCAGCCCTTCAGAGGAGCTTGGATTCACCAAACAAGTTCCCTGAGGGCAGGTATTCTCTCTTATTCATCACTATATCCCAAACCTGGAACACATACAAGGTACTCGGAATGTATTTGCAAAATTTTAGGCACTGGTAAAAGTCTTAGACTTCCTGGCAGATTTAATAAATGAGTAAAGATGTTCAAGAAGCCAAGCGCCATGAAGCATTCCTGTAATCCCAGTGGCTTAAAAAGCTCTGCTGAAGATAATGACTTCCTCAGAATTAGAGCCCAAACACAATGAAGTTGTCAGAGGTGCAGAACAGCAGAAGGAAGCAAGCCAAGAACTCAGTTTAGAAAGTCCTTGAAGCACTGTGTTCATGGCATCACCAGATGCCAATGGAAGTATAACCTTTAGTTAGCCCAGTCTCTGTAGAGTTACAGTCTGAATAGAGTAGTTCCAGGAATGGATTATCTAACAAGAAATGCAGTGGTAGAGCCAGGTTCATATAAGAAACTTAAATACTAAAAGCAGATAACTGGGACAGTAGTTAGGGATGAAAATGAGTACAGCATGTCATGGGAATGGGAATTACTTAAGCTTAGATTGAAGGGGATTAACTAACAAAAAGTGAGGAGGTGGAATGTGAGTTCAAATGATGAATGGGGTTGTTTGGAGATTTTTTGGTTTTGTTTTTCCCAAAGAAGAAAAAGTCATCTCCAACTTTCTAACTAGTCTTCAGTGAGCTCTTCTGTTCTGTCTTTAGAAACTGAGACTGTCTTAATATTTTTCCAAGGATAGATAATCTAAAATTCTAAAGTAGATTTTATTGCTCCAAAAGATTAAAAGTGGCCTACGTCTCAAATGCCAAGATCCTGACTGGTTGATGCTTGTGTTTTAGGTTACATTGTCTTCAGTGGGCCACGTCGAGCTAATGGTATACAGGGCTTGCGCTTCATCATCCAGTCAGAAAAGCCACCACACTACCTAGAAAGCAGAGTGGAAGCTTTCTTAATTACTATGGAAAAGTCCATAGAGGACATGACAGAAGAAGCCTTCCAAAAACATATTCAAGCATTAGCAATTCGTCGACTTGACAAACCAAAGAAATTATCTGCAGAGTGTGCTAAATATTGGGGAGAAATCATCTCCCAGCAATACAATTTTGACAGAGGTAAGGTAAAATTAGAACCCTAATATATTATGGCACTTAAATGTAAAATTTGAGAACATTGAGGCCATTCTACAAAATGGTATATATTTTGTGATTTGGCAGTAGAGTAGGGATGGCACTTTAAAAGAACTGTTATTTATTTATTTATTTTTTAAAGAAACCTTCTTGTTATTTAAGATTCACACTAATTAGATGAATAAAAAATACAAAAGTAGCATTGGGCTGGGATAGTGGCTCAGTGGTAGAGCGCTTGCCTCGCACATGGGAGACCCTGGGTTCAATCCTTGGCACCACATAAAAATAGATAAGTGAAATAAAGGTATTGCGTCCAACTACAACTAAATAAATAAATACAAAATACATAATTTTTAAAAATCTTTGTTTAATTCTAAGTTCTTCCAAATGTATTTTCTAACAAATACAGCTTTTTGGTGAAATGAAATAATAATGTACACATTGCTTTAAATACTTTTCATGATCAAATATAGCAGAGCCACATTTTAATATCCATAAATATGTACAAATACTTTAAGTACTAATGACTTTTTCCTATATTGGACATTCCAAAAATGGAAATAAATATGTCAAATATTATGGACATATACTAAAATGTGAACATTCTATATTTAACATTGTTATTAGTAATAATATTGTGGTAAACATCTATGTACAGTAATTTATTTATTTGATTTTTTAAATAAATGACAGTGGAATGCATTACAATTCATATTACACATATAGAGCACAATTTTTCATATCTCTGGTTGTATATAAAGTATATTCACGGGCTGGGGATGTGGCTCAAGCAGTAGCGCGCTCGCCTGGCATGCGTGCGGCCCGGGTTCAATCCTCAGCACCACATACAATCAAAGATGTTGTGTCCGCCGAAATCTAAAAAAAAAAAAAATATTAAAAAAAATTCTCTCTCTCTCTCTGTCTCTCTCACTCTCTCTAAAAAAAAAAAAAAAGAAAAAGAAAGAAAAAAAAAAGTATATTCACACCAATTCATGTCTTCATACATGTACTTTGGATAATGATGTTCATCATCTTCCACCATCATTGCTAATCCCCTGCCCCCTCTCTTCCCATCCACCCCTAAACATTTCCTATTAGGAACCTTATCTCCTTTTCTTCTCCAAAACTACAGCTAGATCTCCCTGTAACTCACATTGGTATATTAATAACAAATCTAATTTCATTTGTTTGTTTGTTCTATCAGTGTACCCCTGAGACTCTGAGCACAGATACATAGGTACCTATTTCCCATAACACTGAAAAAATGAAAAATTTGTAGATTGAATTCCTCTAAGGTGAGGAATGATGGTGCACACCTGTAATCCCACAACTCCAGAGCCTCAGCAACTTAGTGAGGCCTTAAGAAATTTAGCAAGACCCTGTCTCAAAATAAAAAAGGCTGGGGATGTAACTCAGTGGTAAAGACCCCTTCCCCTTACCATCCCCCCCAAAAAAAGAATGAATTAATCCCCTTGAGCCAGGTAGTGCCCTAGAGGCATGGGGTTTCAAACATTTTCTTTAGGGTTCTCCTAAAAATTTCACAGCTTTCAGATTTGGAAGATCTGTGCTTTCTGAAGTCCCCTGTCAGCTTCCTCTTACCTTTCCTCCAGAACAGAGATCAATAATAGAGTTCACTAAGCCACACTAGAAGTTAGGGGAGTTGAGTAGTGTATATATTCTGATATCGACAAGTTGAAGATTTTGGCCAAATCACCTTTTTGAGGCCTCAGTTTCCTGTAATTTTTCTAGAAGTTGGATTCACTACGAATGTATCTAGCATTTATTGAGCATTTACCATGTGCATAACATCACATGTCATTTTCTTGATTTTCTCACTACAGCCATATTGAGTAGTTTCCCCCAATTTTTAGATGGGGAAACTGAGGCTCAGAAAAGTTGGAGTGAGGGTTGGGGATGAAGCTCAGTTGATAGAGCACTTGCTTGGCATGCACAAGGCCCTGAGTTCAACCCCCAGCACCACAAAAAAATAGAAAAGTCAAAGTGACTAACCCAAAATCCAGCAGCAAATAGCAGAGAGCCATGATGTGTAACCAAGGCTGGCCTCGTTCCTAAACCAAGGTTTTGTTTTTAGCCAGGTTTGGTGATGCCTGCCTATCACCTATCAACTTGGGGTGCTGAAGTAGGAGGATCACAAGTTTGAAGCCAGCCTCAGCAACTTAGCAAGACCCTGTTTCAAAATAAAAAATAAAAGGACTGAGGGTGTAGCTCAGCGGTAGAGTGCCCTTGGATTCAATCTCTAGTATTAAAAAAAAACAAAACTAGATACTTGAAAGGCTTGGAGTGAAATGTATTGTAGTTTATTAGTATTTTTGACTGCTTAATGTGAAAATATTAGAAAACTATTGTTTGATTACTTTTTCAGATAATATAGAAGTTGCATATTTAAAGACCCTTACCAAGGAAGACATCATCAAATTCTACAAAGTAAGTTGAATATATTTATTTACATTTTGAGTGAAGGAAATGTGTTATATGTTGTGTTACTGTTTGACATTTAGCTTGGATTTATGAAGGTGCTTTTGTGAGTTTAAGTATTTTTGACACATTTTGACCTATTACTCTTAGAAAAAAATAGACAATTTTTATTGAACCCAGTAGTGTCTTGCTTTTCTTCTGAACTGAGGTCTACATTGGCTCTTCCTGCCTTCTAAATCTACCTCTCTGAACTCTCCCTCACCTCCTTTTTTTTTTTTTTTTTTTTGGTACCAGGGAATTGAACTCAGGAACAGTCAACTACTGAGCCACATCCCCAGCCCTTTTTTATATTTCATTTAGAGACAGGGTCTCACCCAGTTGCTTAGCATCTTGGTGTTTTTTGGGTTTTTTTTTTTTTGTTGTTGTTGTTGTTGTTTTTCTGAGGCTGGCTTTAAACTCATGATTCTCCTGCCTCAGCTTCCCAAGCCCTTGGGATTACAGGTGTGTGCCACCGTGCCCAGCTGTTCCTTTGTTTCTACTCCACTACAAAGAACATTGCTAAGCTTGTTTGGTGGGGAGGAAGAACAAAAAAAAAAAAAAAATGGAGAATCAGATTATTTTCCAGGCTCTGACAACTACTTAGGCGTAACTGTGCCTCCTTTTTTAAATACATAATTACTCCCCTTTGAACTGTGTTCAGAAATCTTATGAGCTTTAAATGCCTGTGCTTAATGAGAAAGTTTATCATGCAGAGAAAAGAAGCATTAAAGTCTTCCCAGAACAACTTTAAGAAGTTCACATCAGGGGCTGGGGTTGTGGCTCAGTAGTAGAGCGCTCGCCTAGCATGCAYGAGGCACTGGGTTCAATCCTCAGCACCACATAAAAATAAAATAATGTGTCCACCTAAAACTAAAAAAAAAAAAAAAAAAAAAAAGAAAAGAAAAGAAATAAATATTTTTTAAAAAAAGAAGTTCACATCATCTAAATTTTCCCCTCCATAATAAAATCTTAAGAATAGCAAAATTTGTAGTAAGTAGTCATATAATATAAATAGCATGTCAAATACAGAAATTCAAAATTTATGCTGCAATGGACTTATACTAATTTTAAATGCTACATATGTTCTTTGTAATTTATTGGGACCACTACTTTATATAGAACACTTTTGTGCCTGGAAAAAATAATACTCTGATTACTATAACACCTTAGAATTGTCTCTTAAGTGGTCTAGCCATTTTGCCTAGATTATATCTGTGATTAGAAGCTGTTTCATCGGGAACTCAATCCCATCCCATTTTCACATCCCTTTAGAGGAGAGATCATTTACTTAAAATGTCATTTTCCAGAGTATATTGTAGCTGCCTGCATAAGAATCTGTTTGCAGTCCTCATTAGCATGATTTTTGCACAGTAAGGCCTTATCACATTTTTCTCATATGTTAGGGCTTTCAATGCCCATTTAATTTTCATAGGGGAAAGTGGTTCTCTTACGCCATCTAGAAGTTATTTACACCTCTTCCCCCAAAATCTGCAAAACTGCAAGACTGCTGTTCTCTTACGTAAAACATGATTAATGTAGCTGACAACACCTTATTGATAAAAAAGAGGATGGATGTAGCACCATAGTTTCAGAATTTGACAACAAAAACCAATATTTTGAATGCATATTTTTAAATATATTTTTAATTGTAGTTGGGCACAATACCTTTATTTATTTTATTTGTAGGTGGTACTGAAGATCAAACCCAGGGCCTTGTACATGATAATAAGCAAGTGCTCTACTGCTGAGCCGCAACCCCAGCCCCACATTTTTTAAAAAATATTTTTTAGTTGTGTACCTTTATTTTATTTTTATGTGGTGCTGAGGATCAAACCCAGTGCCTCATGCATGCCAGGTGAGTGCTCTACCTCTGAGCCACAACCCCAGCCCCTGGAATTCTTATTTTTAGGCAGTGAGAATTGTGCCATTTTGGTGGTGGAAATAGATAGCTGTGCAAGTTATTTTCTCCCTTTGTCTTGTGTAGAGGAAGGCATCTCTGTCTTATCTCAACTATTCATGCTCTTTTGCAGTAATAAAAATATGAAACTTTTTTTCCACATTTTTTATTCATGCATTATAGTTGTACATAATGATGGGATTTGTTGTTACATGCTCATATATACACACAATATAATAATATAATTTGGTCAATATCTCATCCCAGCAGTTCTCCCTACCTTTCACCCGCTGGTCCTTTTTCTCTACTGATCTCCTTATGATTTTCATGAGAGTCCCCTGTATATACACCTTTTCCTTTTTCCTCTGTAGCTTCCGCATGTGAGAGAAAAATGAGACCCTGACCATCCTGAGTTTGACTAATTTCATTTAACATAATGTTCCCAAGTTCCATCCATTTTCCTGCAACTGACATAATTTTATTCTTTTTTATGGCTGAATAAAACTCCATTGTGTATATATGCCACATTTTCTTTATCCATTTATTCACTGATGGATGCCTACACTGGTTCCGTAGTTTAGCTATTGTGACTGGTGTTGCTATAAACATKKGTATGCATGTATCAGAATAGTATGATGGCTTCAGTCCTTTAGGATAAATACTGAGGAGTGGCATAGCTGGATCATATGGTGGTTCCATGTGTAATATTTCTTTTCTTTATTTTTTTTATACAATACCTTTATTCATTTATTTATTTTATGTGATGCTGAGGATCAAACCTAGTGCCTCAAATGTGCTAAGCAAGAGCTCTACCACTGAGCTGCAACCTCCGTCCCATGCCTAATCTAAGTATATTCACGCCAATTTATGTCTTCATACATGTACTTTTTTTTTGCTTTACAATTCTTACTACACATACATACCACAATTTTTCATATCTCTATTTGTATATAAAGTATGTTGACACCATGCCTAATCTTTCAAAGAGGCTCCATATTGATTTCCATAGTGGTTGTRTTAATTTACAGTCCTGCCACAGTGTGAAAGTGGTCCTTTTTCTCTACATCCTTTCGAGTGTTTATTATTTTATTCTTGATAACTGCCATTCTGACTGATGTGAAATGAAATCTCAGTATAGTTTTGATTTGTATTTCCCTAATTGCTATAGCTGTTGAACATTTTTTCATGTATTTGTCAGCCATTTGTATTTCTTTTGAGAATTGTTTGTTCAATTCATTTGCCTATTTATTAATTGGGTTATTTGATTTTTATGGTGTAAAATTTTTTGAATTCTTTAGGTATTCTAGATATTAATCCTCTATCAAAAGAGTAGCTAGCAAAGATTTTCTCCCATTTTGTAGGTTCTCTCTTCACATTCCTAATTGTTTTCTTAGCTGTGCAGAAGCTTTTTAATTTGATGCCATCCTGTATATTCACTCTTGGTGTTATTTCCTAAGCTTTAGGGATCCTGGAACAAAGTTTTTGATATGAACTATAACCTCAGGTGGTCTTCATGTACATGAAAAGAGAGCTACAGTAGGGTAGTGAGGAGCAGAGGATTGGGGATAGGGCATGTGTTTCTTGACAGACAGCTCAATAAGTGGTCTGCTAACCTACTGTCATCTTATCTCCTTCTGAGGTTCTTTTGTTTGTGGGGCAGCAACAGGAACATGTGGAGCCAGGCTCCACCCCAACACCAACTGGTAGTTTTGTGACCTCAGCCAGGTTACTTAAGYGCTAAAACCTGTTTCCTTATCTACAAAGTAGAATTGATTGGAATGTTATAGGAATGAGGTATTTAAAATATTTGGCACTTAGTAGCATTTAATAAGTAGTGTTGAAGGTTTTGGTGCTATAAATCAGAATGTGTTGTTTCTTTTTTTTTTTTTAATTTTTTTTTATTTTAGATGGACACAATACCTTTTATTTATTTATTTATTTTTATATTTTGCCAAGGATTGAACGCAGTGCCTCACACATGCTAGGCACCACTCTCGCTCCACCATTGAGCCACAACCCCAGCCCATGTTTTACTTCTTGATGTTACAAAATAAATTTTAGTTGTACTTATTTGCCACTCAAGACCATTTTGTTTTGTGGGGATAGGTATTTATCCTCAGTTAACTACAAAAAAAGGTTATCACATTCTGTACTTTTTGGTTTCTCAGATATTCATCTTGAAGTATTATTAGTTACAGTTGTTCACAAAAGATGATGTTCTAATGTAACTTGCTTAAGCTGAATCTAGAGTAGTGTTTCCCTAGTTGTGCTCCAGCTGGTATTCTACAAGACATTAACAGAGGCATCTAAGAAAAAGTGTTTCTTAGGGCTGGGGTGTGCCTCAGTGCCTACCATATGCAAGGTCCTGGGTTTGGTCCCCAGACTGCAAAAAGAGAAAAGAAAAGAAAGACATTCTTAGATGAGGTTTTACATATTACTGGAGGCAGGCCTGGGCTAAGACCCTAAAAAAAAGCTGGAGAGGTCAGAACAGGCCTATGGGGGTCATCTGGGCCATCCTGTCAACAGAGGACAGGGGCAACCATGGTCAGGCTTGCAGTGAAACATCATCAGGCCTTCCTTTGTAGCCACACGGGACCAGACTTATAATAACTGCTCCATAAATAACTGTTGGGTGAATTTGGCTTGCCCAGTGATCTCTCTAGTCTGTGAAACATCACATCTGGCTAAGGCATCAGATATCTCCTCCTACCTTATCACAATTCCCCCACCACATCCGCACCCTGTCTTGGAGGTAGGATGCTGGAGGGGCTAGGGATTGAACAGGGGCATTCACTAATCTACAACCCCAGCCTTTTTTATTTTGAGGCAGGGCCTCACTAAGTTGCTGAACTTGCTATCCCCCTGTTTCAGCCTCCCAAGTTGCTAGGATTCTAGGCAGGAGTCACCAAGCCTGGCATTTTGACCCCCTTTTATTTTTAATATTGAGATGGGGTCCTGCTGAAATGCCCAAGCTGGCCTTGAACTTGTGATCCTCCTGTCTCAGCCTCCTGAAGTTGCTACAATTATAAGTGTGGTTCACCATACCCAGCAGCCCTTCATCACAGTTTGTACCCCTTTGAAAAATGGTGACCTTGCTCTTCTTTCTGCCTAGGAAATGTTAGCAGTAGATGCCCCAAGGAGACATAAGGTATCCGTTCACGTTCTTGCCAGGGAAATGGATTCTTGTAAGTATTAAATATTGACTTTTTTTTTTAAGTCTGTGTTTTAGGCTCATGTTGAATCATATGATGGCTATCCATTGCCATAGCCATATGACTTATAGAGCATTAGAATGTAGACAGATAAGGGGAAATAGAGTCTGCTCTATGGAAGCAAAAATAAGAGGGAAGGGGAAATGAAGCTGTGAAGGAAAAAAAAAAACAGTACCAGGTGACAGTGCCAGGGTAGCCACAGATTCACAGGAAAACACAGCTGATGCCAGTGGGCTGACTCCAAAGAGGCTTTATGGTATCACTATGTGTGGGAAGCAAGATTCAGCAATTTACCTACTTGTCTCCTCCTCTTACTATTTAGCCATTAACCCCCCTGACCTTCTGGGTTTTACTGCATCCTTCTGGGTGTGTGGAGATCCATCCTGTTAAATCAAACTTGAGCACTAAGCTGCTGCTGCAGCCAAGGTTTTATGACCTCAGTAACATCATTAACCATCATTGAGGACACTCAAAAGGCAGGACAAGCAATCAATTACTTGGGAGCAGGCAGCCTGAGAGAATCTGAGATGCACATGAGTTAGACCTGATTGGATCTGGCTTGGATTTTTTTTTTTTTTCCAGATTTGCTCTTGTATGCAAGTATGAGTATAGCAAAGCATTAAACCTTTCATTTTCTTATAGGTCCTGTTGTTGGAGAGTTCCCCTGTCAAAATGATATAAATTTGTCACAAGCACCAGCCTTGCCACAAGTAAGAAACATTATGTTAGCTTGTACTGTCAGAGGACTTAGAAAAAGCTTGTTCATCAGGACACATAAGACCTAGAGGTTTCAAGTCACCAGGAGTTTGAGCTTCTACTTTAGTTCCCCCTACACTGATTACTTAAGTTCTGCCCTTGTCTTCCTTTGCTTCTTGTTTGAACAGTTGTAGCACTTTGCATTGAGTCATCTCTGGCCACATGTATCCCCAGAATATTAGAGTGAGACCTCTTAGTCTTTTCCACAGTGCCTCTGTGGCAAGTGACAATATGAGCAGGCCCTTGCTAGATGGGCATACCAGCTTGTGCTGCTCTGCTGAAGCCTTGGTGCCCAGCCCCTGATGAGCCAGCCTTTGTATGCCCATTTGAAAGCCAGGAGTCTGCCTGCTGGCCCAGAATCCCACTAGTGACACTCACCATAGGTTTGCATAAACCAATCTATGACCCCTTGCCCCTACTGATCTAAAAAAGATCAACAGATAGCAATCTATGGAGTATCCCCTTATATGGTGTACTTTCTTTCCCTGAAGAAAAATTGGTGTCCTCTTCAGTCTATTTTTAAATTAAACACACTAAAAGGAAACTTTTTTTTTCTTTGCAGCCTGAAGTGATTCAGAACATGACTGAGTTCAAGCGTGGTTTGCCACTATTTCCCCTTGTGAAACCACATATTAACTTCATGGCTGCAAAACTCTGAAGATTCCCATTCACTGCTGGGAAAGTAAAAGAGGATGTATTCCTGAGTCTTCCAGAGCCTAGGAAAACAGTCTTGGCCACTTTAATAGTTTCTGGTTCATTATCAGAGACACAGACAAAAAGAAGTTATCATATGTCATTATGTAGAAATATTAAAAATCCAAAGTAATTAAATTACAGTCTTAGAGATGTAGAATATTTTTAAAATACATGCCTCAAATATTTTACATTTTTCTTTTCATTACTAAGAGAAATTTCCCTTATATAACTGCTTAAAATGATGAATGATATTCCTATAGAATCTTTCTTCCCTATTCTGTAAAATAGTCACTTGTCTGAAGAAAATAAAAGTTAGCTTTTTTGTAAAAGCCTCCTAGGTTGGCATAGAAGGCTTTAAAACATTTAAAAAGGTATTACCTTTTTAAAAATTGATCTTCAAATTTGCTTTCTACTTGATGGTTTCATGTAAATCAATGGAGAACATGACATTTGGCAGATAATGCACAAAGCAAAGTCATTTTCTTTTATTAGTGAAATTGCTGGTTATATAAGGCATGGTTTTAATCTTTTTATAAAATTTGAACATGTTTTTTATTCCAACTAGCAAAATGCTGGAAAAATCTAGAATACCCTACTTATTTACAGTGCTAGAAATACAGATTTACCCTACATCAATTTTGTCCCAAACTGAATTTCTCAGGATTACTGTGGTTTGTTTTTGATTGAATTATATTGCCATTCTTGTTCATAGTTGGTTTGCAGTGTTCTGTCAGTTTTACCATTTCTCATCAACATGTTGCTGTATTTACTTAACAAGTACAAATGGAGTCAACTTCAGATTCTACTGAGTGTGTGACATGCTTTTCCAACATCAGCTATTGTTACCACCCTTAACTTTTTACTACAGTGAAATTGCAGTCAGTGTGTGAACCACAATATTTTGCCCCTTTATGAATTTAAAAGGCAGCAAATACAAAGCCACCTATTTGGACATATGCATTCTTAAGTAGTGAGTTCCATAAGATTAAATCCCTCGTTGATACCAGTCTGATCTTGCCTTAAGTGTTATTTTTTTTAATATATAAATATAAACATACATACAGATGACTGGAGTGGACTTTTAAAAATATTTTTTTCATGAGATACTATTTTAGGTGAAATTGTTATTATAGATTTAACAGCTGTTTTGAAATATTTACTATTATTAAAACTTGCTTCAAGAGAAATTGTGAATATATTTCCACATACAGGCACTAGTAATAGTAAGTGGTCCTGTTGTCCACTAACTCAGGCAAMGAATGGCATTTTCAAATGAAATGTAACCTCCCCTTATGACTTGATTTGCCAGGACTTCTTTCTGTGGAGTCATGTCTTTTCACATCTTAGGTTTTTCCATTTTCCAAATTATCTCAATTTGGGGCAAGAATGATAACTAGTCACAACCTAGGAGACTGCTTTCAAAAGCAGGGCTCCCTTTCTATTGTCAGGTCAATGTGGTGCTGTAACTGTCTYTTTATCTAACTTCAAGAGCCTCCTTGTGTGAAGCTGTCTTGGTCCATCAGAAGGTGTATGAAGTTATCACTTCCTTCTGGTCTCATGCATTTRTAGACTATGCAGCTTTTCATCAAACTACAAATATATACAAGATGAATCTAAAATTTGTCCTGAGTGTTTAAATCCATCACTGTAAAAGTAAATGAAAATCCACCTACCTTTTCTGTGGAAAATTATGTGCTATTGAGTAACTTTTAGCTCTTTAAAAACAAAAATGAATAAAATTTACAAGTGTCATTTGTATGAGGAAAGGCACCTGAAGAGATCTGAAAGCAATTCCTTGTAGTCTTCCATGAACCTGCACTTGTTTAGTGTGCTCTAGCACTTTCTGGTTTCCAAATGGGATCTAGAGCTACTGTTGGGTCACTCAGGCATACTAATGGATTCATTTAAATGGATCCCAGCTGCAGTCCATGAGCAATAACAGACTACCCCAAATACTTCTWTTTACTCYGTGTTTAGCAGATGAGATTTGTGAAACACATTAAGTTATTAGTTACTGGGGACTTTTTAAGTCTTGTTTTTGACTAGTTGATGTGAAAGAGCATGTGACACAGCCAGTATGATAGAGTCCTAGGGTTTTCCTGTTTACAATAAATTGGCTGAATTAAAACTCTGGAGTTTGCATTTGTATTATTTCTATAAGTTTTAGTGAACTAAATCCTAAACCAATCCTCAGCCTATCTTTCAACATCCCAATTTGACAAGATTCCTTGCTTTCATTATTCCTAATGTGGAAAGCAGTTAATTCATATATAAAGTATATCTGGGAAACAATAATTTGCTGAAATAAATGACTCAATTTCCCACTCTCTTTTTTCCCCCAGAATATTTATTAATCAACTACTATGTGTCAAGGTTAATGTTCATTTTAGACATAAAGGAACAAGAAAGAAAAGTCTTTGCCCTCATGGAGTTTACACTGTAGGGGGGATAGCAAATATAAAAGCAGACAGTCATGGACATAAAGAAAGTGGGCTGAAAAGATGTGGCATGAGCTTGGGTGGCAGGAAGGGCTTCTCTCTGTTGTGAAATGACAGGAAGGAGCCAGCAGCAAACTGGGAGAAAGCATTCAGGTAGATCTTCCTTTTTTCTCCCGTCTCCCTTTACTTCTCGGCTTGATCCAAAATGTCTCAAAGGAAGCCAAGTCCAGAAGAGAAAGCTCTAGTCTTTATTATCAGGGCTTCCAGGGCCTGGGTAGACCGACAGAGGAGATTGCCATGGAAGGATCTAGATGGCCCCTTCCCTCCTGAGCATGGTGTGGGGCTTCCTCTGGCCAGGGGCAGAGGTCTGACTGACATGTCTTTTGGGAAACCTAGCCCCAGGACCATCTCTCTCACTCAAGTGTCCCTAAAGTCCCAGGCCAGCCAGAAGCCAGGGCTGAGCCAATAGGGTGCATGGGGACGCCCAATCCTCAGGTCGCCCGGCACCCAGGAGCACTGGCTTAAGGGTGGGGCCTCTTGAGCATCCTTTTTTTTTTTTAAGGGTTTTTGTTTGTTTAATACATCTGAAAAGAATGCATATACAAAGAACTGAGACAGAAAAAAGCATTGGTTCAACACTAATGAATCTACAAGTTTTAGGATTTGGGGAAAGTGGAAAAAGATTAAACATTTTTAAAAACTGGAAATTGCAACCAAATAAGCTGAAAAAAATAATCCCTATTAACACTTATGAAGACTCTCCACAAGACTCAAGCCATGATTTTCATTAAAGAATATCACTGGGCTAGGGGGGCCTCATACGAATAACAGAAATAAGGGGATTCCCAACTGGTCAGTCCCCTTGTAGGTAAATGTTCTCCCACCCCATCCACCACCAGCTTCTTCATGAAGCAGGCCCACATCCTCAAACCTGAAAGGATGCCAATCATCCTGCATGCATCTGTCTTCTAGCACCACCCCTCGAAGTTCTTCTGTGTGCCAGGTCTTCAACTGGGTTCTAGGACCACCACACAGTGAGTTGCAAATCTATGCTAAGTATACAAAACAATGACTGACGGGAAAAAAATTGTTTTTTAATTACAAACTAAATTCATCTGGTGTATTTCAAAAGGTGCAATACTATTCTTCATTTATCAATGAAAGAAGTTAGAAATGAACTCCTCCCTCCCAAAAAAAAAAAAAAAAAAACGGCAAACAAATTTCCTTGAAAGTCACAGTCACATATAGGAGTGCGTCTTAGAAAAGAGGAGGGCAAGACAGCTGCCACCCATTTTCATGAATTTCATCAAATACTGGATCTACTCAAGGGTGGAGAGAAAAGGCAACTTTCAAAAAGGAGTATATTATTAAACGAGGCATTTACTATACTCCTTCCTAAGAGCACTAGGTGGGGAACACATTTTTCTAAATTAGATCTAGGAAGTGGAATGTGGAATCAATTTGTCCTCCTCTCCTAATGGCTGTCCATCAGTTAA